CACACTTGGACCCCGCAGGTAACCATACAGGGTTGACGCATAGGCGGAGTTACAAACATCACGTTCCTCCTCAGTATCGCATTCGAACATCTCGAAGACTAACGACAGCTCACCTCAGGAACCGCCCTCGTCGACTTCAGGGTCGAGAGGGCCGAACGAATCGATGTGGGATTATCACGATTCAAAATTGCCAGAATGGATGCGTATTTTTCCGTATCCTGACGCTCCTATTATTCCGAGGTCTGGGGGTAGGAACCTCCCGAGCATTGCTATCATCATAACCGCTACACCACCAGACGCCCCGCACTCAACAACGATACGATCAGTTATTGGAGCGACTGCGCAGCTATGGACACCTAGCTTAGCGTTCCCCTACAGACATCGGAGGCGCCCTCAGTGGACGATATGCCGGCGCGTTCCACTCGGACGTAAGCGACGCGCCGGTGGCCACGCCAGGCAACATCTGGGGCGAGCAGGAGCCAAATGAAGCCACGAAGCTTCTAGGCCAGGAAACTGGCAACGCGCGTGCATCCGGCTCCAACGACAGCTGGCCGGCCGCTGCCAGCCATGCACAACCCACATCATCAATTACCCTTTGGGATTCGAGACAGACCAACAATACGACGGTCTTTTTGACTGTGGAACTGACGCCGGCACCTGTTCATTCACTGGTGTTTCAGAGATCGACTGGTCAGACTTACCCGCTGGCGACGATCGCGCAGCATAGCGCCCATGCATGGGATATCAGCATGCCAACTGGAGGTGGAGACGGCATGTGGAAGAAACAGTTTTAAACAAAACTTAGACAAACCGTGCTACGGGAATTCTATCGCAAGGGTAGGGAACGCGGCGAAGGTGGCAAGCGCGCCCGCAGGCTGCATGGGAGGGGAATGGCCACGCTCCTTGCCAACTTTACCGATCACGACTTCCAAGAATTATTCGCCCAAGGAAAGGGCCGCGGGGACGCCGCCGGGGAAGGTCGGGTGCGCAAGCTCAGCCGCGCGTGCAAAAAGTATTGAGCGATGGCGCGCAACAGCTTCGCGAGCGACGAGAATTCAGGCACGGTGCCACGAGGGGGGAAAGGGGAAGGGCCGTGGGTCCGCATTATTTGGTTCAGACCCTCGAGAATAATATGTACTCTCGTACATGCACTTTCCAGACGTAGATCGCCCCTCCTACGCCAAGTGTCGCGCCGCGTGGTGTCCGATGGCCAGGCTCGCAGATCCTGCAATGCCGATCGAACGGCGCGCCGACAACTCGCGCGGCGGCGTCGACGCGGCGCGCGACGCGCCGCGCGAGGGTTGGGCTGGCATTCCCAGGCGCGGCCGCGCGCGAGAAGATCCCGACGACGACACTCAATTTTTATCAGGCCCTATGTCTCCGGTGGCCGCCTCTGCCACCGAGGAGGAGGCGGGGTTTGTCCAGCTCGGCCCCGGGCAGGGCGGTCGCGCCCGCTTGCCTTCGCCGATGGTGGTTTGCCATGCTGCAGAAGAACTGGCAATTGGCGGCGGCGGGTTGGGGCCAAAATGCTGTTGCAGCATTCGCGACGTCTGGTGGACAGGCCCGCGGCGGGGCCGGTCCGGCCACGAGCGGCCGCCGCCGCGGTGGGAGTTCCACGCGAGCCAAGGGCTCTTAAAAGAAAATTAGCATACCTATGGCAAGGGGCATTCATCGACCTCTTCGGGGCGAACAAGTCGCTCGGGCGGAGGGGCCAGGGGGGTCCAGAGGGCGACGCGCGCTGCGCCATTGGCACTCCGAGCAGCGCGTTCTCCGCGGCGACCCGGGCCATATCATCGAGGCGCCCGATCGTCGTTTGACCGCGAAGGGCGAGGCTCGAAAGGGGGGGCGCGAGATCAGCGCGCACCGTCTGACGCGCCGCGCGCGAGTTTGCCCTCGCCGCCAGCGGCGCCGCCCGAATTGCACCATCAATCGGCCGTCGCAAAGCCCGCGCCGCCGCGTTCGCGGCGGCGGCGTCATCGGCAAGGACTCATGCGAGATGGCGGCCGGTTGCGTTGCCCTGAACGACGCGCGCGCCATGGGTGTCGAGTGCGATTGGGCAGTTATGCCCGAGAACTGTCGCCACAAACAACCTCGGCTTCGCCCGAGAACTATCGCCAAGCGGCTCCGAAGACAGGGGCGAGATCACCCCTCGGGATCGGCCCCTCAACGCGGCGAGCCAGATTGTTGGCAGCTCAAGCGCAGCCCCCCCCTGAGCGGGGGGTCCACCCCCGATCCGGGGCCGACGGGGAAAAGGCGGGCAGGGGTGGCCACGCCCCTCACAGACCTCAAGGGACGGGCGCGCCCATGACGGATCGGACAACAAGCCGCGAGGAAAGCGGTTGCGACGATACCGTGAATTCGACTTGGCGGAATACGACGAGGCTGACGAGCTTGCAGAAGCCGACGAGCCACAGATCGCTGAAGGAAGCAGGAACGCGAATATTAGAAAAATTCGAACCCTCATCCCAACTGGGAACCGACCCCCGCTGACTCGGCTCACGCCGACGCGTTGCTTGGTCAGATCAAGCCGCGAGGACCTCGGCGCGAACCTTCGGCCAGCGCCGCAAACCGAGCTGCCCAGTTCCATGAGCGCTCTACTCCAAAGCGGGATCAACCAATGCGCAGCTCGATCCGATGCATCGCAGTCGGCCCAGATGCACCGCGGAATAGGCTGGGCCCCAACGCTGCTGGACGCCGGCGTCGAGAATTGCAAGAGCAAGACCAACCTGGCCGCTGGCGCGCTGGACCTGTCGCGGGCAAGGGCGGCCCCAAAGGCGCCCTTCAATGGGACTACATTGCTGGACTTGCTGCGGAAGGCGCCGAACAATCCGCCTCCGCAAGTGCTCGCGGGAACGGAGGACCGCGGCCTCGAGCGCCGCGCGGGCGCGCAGTCGGACATTGGCCCAAATTTATCCGCGATGCATCCAAAGCCGCCCAAGCACTTGGAGACGACATCGAAGGACAAAGGGGCGCCACCTGCCACTGCGCCAGGAGCCGCAACGCCAGCAGCTGCAGCATCAGAAGCTGCGGCTCCACCAGCCGCGGCAGCGCCAGCTGGCGCCGCGACCCCAGCAAGGGCAGAGACGTCCGGATATGATGAATCAAGGTGCGGACCATGTGCCATATAATTCCATCCGACCACTTCTGTGAGCTCAACCAGCAGTCTCTGCGTCATCACTTTAAAACGAAACCGCCGATTAAGTTAACCGAGGCCAGCCCCATTCTCGAAGCAGAAACGCGCCCGCGCAACAACAGGTCCATGCCGGGACCTGACACCAACCCGAAGACCAGGATCTCATAATGGTGGCGCAGCACATGCCGACATCGCCCATGCAGGGACGATGCAATCGATCCATTATTGAAACGGACCTGGGCCACCTGGGATGAGTGCGATGGCTGGATCATGGTCAACGATGCGTTGGACAGTACCCACCGGGGGAAGCACGTTGACTTTTTCAAGTTTTGGCTCGCGAACCAGCCCGATTATTTCCAGATTTGGCAATTTTTACAGATTTTCGAAATGAAGGCCCGCCCAGGTGCCCAGAAAGGGCGCCAACAGCTGAAGTTTGACACCGGCGGGGTTACGGGCGGACGCGTCTTGCGCGTGCGAGCGTCCAGGCCAGGGATCCGCAGCCGCCCCGAGTCCTTTTTCTACAACGTACGCTCGCTCGGAAAGCCAGGCGGTCCGCAATTCTTCCTCCATGGCGCGTGCAGGGAGTAATTGGAGCAAATTATCGCGCGGGGGCTGTCTTGTCTGGCCCATGACAACCCTAAGGGACTGTCGGGCAGACAGTTTGCCCACGGGTGTCCCTACCTGGGGCGATCCGCGCGCCGAGTCAGGTTTGCGCGAGGACGCCTAGGCATTGATACTCGCTCGCGTCCATGCCGCTGCCACTACGCGGCGGCACGAGGATCTGGAGGTCCGAAAACGACATGGTGATGACAGGGGGATATGAGCGACGGAGTCTTACGCACTACATCATCCAGCTTGCTGGCCTGACGGGCAAGCATAAAGGCGAGGTGTGGCGGGGCTCCCGTCCCAGGTCTCCGACGAGAGTATCTCCAGGGCCAGTTTTCCATCCCGAGTTGTTTTTGACGGCTCTGGAGCCTTCCGAGGGCCTCCAGAGGCCGAAAACGGCGGAGAATATCCGCCATGTTTTTGTTGTTTGTTTTTTCGATTCAAGACGATGGATCTCTCGATCGGTGATTTTGTGCAACCTTCGTTTTTCCCCAATCAGTGCTTGCACTGAAGGGGTCCTCGCGGATGTTGAAGGATTCAGCGAAAGTGTCCCGCCGATTTTGGTTGCTGGCTGGGTTCCCGGGTTCCCGGTTCTGGGTTCCCGGGTTCCCGGTTCCGGGTTTTGGACCGATTTCGGAGGGCGGCAAGGTTCTTGGATTTCTGGGTTCCTGGTCTATCTTCTTATCGATCGGTCTTACCATCGATCTCATTACCCACTTCTCTATCGATCTCACCATCGATCTCAGAATCGATCTCACGATCGATCTCACAAGCGATCTTACTAGAGATCGCATGAGCGATCTCGCGATCGATCTTACTGTCGATCTCATTGAATCGGTTTCAATCTCGGTCTCACCATCGACCTTACAATCGTCCTCACTATCGATTCCACTCATTATCGATCTCACAATCGATCTCAAGATCCATAGTATTAGTTTTCAAATTATCCACTGATTTGGGTTTTCTCAGGTGTAGTGTTTTTGGGGGTTTTCTGGAGACCGCGACTTTATTCTCTGGCGATAGCGGGCATGACGGGGCGGCAGGGGGGCAACGGGGCCAGTCACGTCGCGATTCGCGCCAGCGTCGTCTGGGAATGCGTAAGAACGGCTGATCCCCATCCGGCGCTGGCGCGAATGGTGACGTGACCAGGGGGGCGGGGGAAGTGGTGGGGGGGCCGGTCTCAGGCCAATCACGGATCACAGCGAATAAGATGCCTCCTGGGCACCGGAGCGCTGCCCGCTTCCGGCCGCGGCCGCGCCAGGACGCCGGCCACGAGCTCGAGGAGGAGGAGATGGGCCTCCTGAGCTTCACGTGACCGCCGCCCAAGCGGGCCGCCTCCGCCCTGGGCGCGCGCCGCCCGTGGGCGAGGCTGGCCCTGAACAAAAAAAAAAAAAGAGCGGAAGCGCGGCCACATCGTCGTCGTCGTCGTCTCGCAGGCCTAGAGGTTGACACCAACACGAAGATCGGCGGTGTGCCTCCACCGAGGGAAGACGATCCCGATCTCGGTGATGGTGGTAATACTCTGGCTTCCAAGGTGACCGAAATGTTACCACTAACACCGAAATCTAGGATCATCACCCCCCTGTGGAGGCAAAACCCTGTGCTGGTGTTGGTGCCAATTTCCAGGCCTCCCATCGTCGACCTCATTTTGTGACGGTTCCTTTTTTGACCGGGTTCACGTCCGCAGAGGGGTTAAGCTTACCCGTCTTCTGGTCAGAGGTGGGTGGGGCTTCGCATGGTTCTCATCCGGCGACCCTAGGATTGGGGAGTCTCTTGTATACGAATAATGTGGACCAGTGGAGGTATATAATCTTAGATAGCACGCAACCGCTTTTCGTAGGCGCCGCCTGGGTATCAAGTGCTTGCAATTCGTGAGTTATCGGCTACAGTTGAAGTGTGTATTTGGTTATTGCGTCAGGTTATTTGGTATTTGAACTTGAATCAAGAATAGCGCCAGATCCTCAACTTGTCCAGCGGAGTGACGCCCTACGCAGATTCAGATAAGACCTCGCCATCCCTGAGGGTCTGCGCGCAGTGAAGCTGTCGCCACTATCGAAAGGCTGCTGGGTTGTCCAGCGGAGTGACGCGCTACGCAGCCTCATATTCGACCTCGCCATCCCTGGGGGTCTGTGTATTGTGAACTTGTCTTCGCTTGCGGGGGCTGATGGATGGTCCAGCAGAGTGACGCGCTACACAGATTCAGAGCAGGCCCTGCCATCCCCAGGGGGGGTGCGAACGGTGAAGCTGTCGCCGCTTTCGAAAGGCTTCTGGATGGTCCAGCGGAGGGACGCGCTACGCAGATTCAGAGTAGGCCCGTCCATCCCTAGGGGGGGAGAGAGTGCGAGCGGTGAATTTGCCGCCGCTTTCGAAAGGCCGCTGGATGGTCCAGCGGAGTGACGCGCTACGCAGATTCAGATAGAACTGGCCATCCTTGGGGCGGGGGGGCGAGCGGTGAAACTGCCGCCGCTTTCGAAAGGCCGCTGGATGGTCCAGCGGAGTGACGCGCTACGCAGATTCGGAGTAGGCCCCGCCATCCCTAGGGGGGGAGAGAGTGCGAGCGGTGAAACTGCCGCCGCTTTCGAAAGGCCGCTGGATGGTCCAGCGGAGTGACGCGCTACGCAGATTCAGATAGAACTGGCCATCCTTGGGGCGGGGGGGCGAGCGGTGAAACTGCCGCCGCTTTCGAAAGGCCGCTGGATGGTCCAGCGGAGTGACGCGCTACGCAGATTCTGATTTGACCTCGCCATCTTTGGGGGGGCCGCACGCAGTGAAGCTGTCGCCACTTTCGAGGAAATCTGGAGGGTCCAGCGGAGTGACGCGCCGCGCAGATTCAGATTCGACCTCGCCATCCCTGGGGTTCTGCGAACTGCGGAACAGTCGCTATTTCCGGGGACTGCCGGATGGTCAGCGGAGTGACGCTCTACGCAGATTCAGATTAGGCTTCGCCATCCCTGGAGGCTTCGAATCCAGATTCGATTCGACCTGATCCCTGAGGCTACGCAGATTCAGACTAGACCTCGCCATCCCTGGGGCGGGGCTGCGAACTGCGAACCTGCCCCCCGGGCTGCGCATTGTGAACCGTCGCCACTTTCGAGGGCTGCTGGGGGGGAGGGGGCAGTATGCTGGGTACCAGGCGCGGACTCAGCGTGAACCTCGCCATCTCTGGGGGAGCTGCGATCCGCCAAACAGTCACCACTTTCGAGAGCTGCTGGGGTGCCATCTTGGGACGCCCTGAACACGGTTTGAAGCAGTTGTCTTTCGGACCTGCACATTATTTGATTCATCCGTTGTGATGCCCGCCAAGCCCGTGGCCCCTCGTTCCCGCTTCTGCCCCCTGCCAAGCTTGGGGCTGATTCCTCGTCTTTGTATTGCCGTCATGTGAGTCGTGCCACTCGCGCGCGTCCCATGTAGCTTGTGCACATGCGACGATTGTGCATTGTCGTTGTCTATACTGATCTTTGCCAATTGCCTTGGTAAGTTAATGCACATGGGTCGGGTACGTCGCAGGGCCATGTATGGCTTTCCATTGCCTTAGCGGCTTTCGGGTGTTGCCCGTGGTGGATTGAGCCTTTGTGGGCTTGTTCGGGGCCTCTTTGGCAGTCTTAGTGCGTTCCTGGCCCGTCCGCCGCCGTCGGAGGCCGTCTTGGGGGCCTCTGTGAACCGACTTGGGGCCCTCTTAGGGCGCTCCAGGGCCGTCCTGGAGGCCATCTTCTGTGTCTTGGAGGCCTCTTGGGCCGTCTTGGGGCCCTCTTGGGGCCGTCTTGGGGACCTCTTCGGCCCTGCTGAGGCCATCTTGGAGGCCTCTTGAGCGATCTTGAGGCGATCTTGGGGGCGAAACGAAGCAAATGCCCAAATCCTGCAAAAACCACAGGGCACTCAATGATTTAAGCCTCTTCGGGCCTTCCCGACGGCCGTTCCTCTTAGGCTGCCTTTGAGGCTTCTGGGGGGGCATCTTAAGCTGTCTTGGCGGCTTTCTTGGAGCCATCTTGGGCGGACTTGGAGGCATCTTGGACCCTCTCGGGCCGTCTTGGAGGCCATCTTGGAAATCTTTGGAAGCGGTGGGCCCGGTTACTTAACATTTGTTCGAGCTCTACAGATGTGAATTTCTCAGGGCTGCACGAGCCCTGGAGCATTCCACTACGTGCTGCAGGCACGGTGGCGGGTTTCCATGGGACCTTGGGCCTTCGGCGAAGGGCCTCGTGCTGTTCACCTGCGCTTTTGTCGCCGCGGTTCGACTGTAAGAGCGGAGGAGAGGGAGGAGGAGGAGGAGGACGAGGAGGAGGAGGAGGAGGAGGAGGAGAAAGAGGAGAAGGAGGAGGAGGAGGAGGAGGAGCGGGAGGAGGACGACGACGAGGCGGAGGAGGAGGTACGAGCAGTTCGTAGGCCGAGGGCTTGGCACGAGGCGTGCTTCGATGCCTCCTGGGTGAGATACGCAGCCGTCACGAGGCGAAACCTGGAGGGGTAGAAGGCACGAGGCGTGCTGCGATGGCTCTCGGCCGAGATTCGCAGCCGTCGTGAGACGAAAAGTGAAGGGGAAGGAACTCTGGCAGGGAAGGGGGGAGGGAGCGGTGTGTGTGTGTGTGTGTGCCCGTGTCGCCGACGCATTCTCACTGAAGGAATTGCCCCTTTGGAAAACGAGTGTTTGAAAATCTTGAAGTGTGCCGGAAGACCAGCACTGGGACTTCATTAGGGCTCGTTTCGATTCCTCCGATTCGAGTCGATTTGATTTCGATGGCTTCCGATTTCGATTCGATTCGATTTGGGATTCCGATTTGGGCTACGATTCTTTATTGGAGGCAAACTAGCCTGCCGATTTCCGCCGATTCGACTTTTCTCGACTCGGCCGCCGATTTCCGCCGACCCGATTCATTCCGATCGCCGATCCGACTTATCGATTCGATTCTTGGCTCTCCTGCTTCATCTCCACGAATCACCGTCACTGATGCGCCTTGTTGATCCTGAATCGTGCCAGAAAGCAGTTCCTAGGACTTCACACCACGAATCAACGGAAATGTTGCGCCCTGACAGTCCGACATCGTGCCTAAACACAGTTTCTAGGACGCAAGCATGATCATGTCTGACACTGCTGCAAAATCTTCAAGCGAATGCGCGGGGCGCTGAGGCGAGAGCCACGTTTTGAAAATGAGCCGCCCTCCATCCGCGAAGTTGTTACAGCCTCTGAGCTTCAGGATCATGAATGGTGAAGCACCTTGAAAAGGAGCCGCCCTCCATCCGTGAAGCTGCTACAACCTCTGAGCTTCAGGATCATGAATGGGGAGGCACCTTGAAAAGGAGCCGCCCTCCATCTGCGAAGTTGTTACAGCCTCTGAGCTTCAGGATCATAAGTGGTAAGGCATCTTGAAAAGGAGCCGCCCTCCATCCGTGAAGCTGCTACCGCCTCCGAGCTTCAGGATCACAGGTGGTGAGACAGTCTCGTGCGAAACGCCCGGCCCGCCCCTCGACCGGCCTCGGGGTGCGGCAGGGAGGAGTTTTGTTCATGAGGACAGGGAGTGGAGGTGCAGCAGGAGGAAGGGCAGGAGGAGCAGGGGGGAGGGAGGGAGGGGGGAGGGAGGGAGGGCGGAGGGAGGGAGGGGGAAGGGCGGGGGAAGGGAGGAGGAGGCTGGCTGGCTGGGGTGGCCCATTGGGCGGCATTCGCATCTTCGGGCATGGATGCTTTTAGTGGGCCTGACCAGGCAGGAGGAAACCTCCCGCGACGGAGCATCCCCACACCGACCACTGTGCCTCCAGGCGGGCAGGTCCATGGCCACCTCTGGTGCATGGAAAGCCCGCGATGGAGGGGACAGCGACCGTCAGGGGTGGGATGGGCCGGCAGAGAGCCCGCATCTCAATTGCCGGGGGCTTCGCCCTGTCCCCCAGCCCCCGCAGTCAGAACAGCGTGCGCGAAGCACCACTGCAGACAGGCAGACAGGGAGGGGGCACGAAGACCCTCCCTTGAAAGCGGTGGGGACCTCCAGCCCAGCCCAGACCGGCCGACGTCGCAGCCCGCTGCCGTAGCGTCCCCGCTGGAGCGAGGGCCCTGCGGAGGGAGCGCTCAACCGGAGGGAGGGAAGGAGCAAGGGAAGGCGAGGAGAGGGAGAGAGAGAGAGAGAGAGAGAGAGAGAAAGAGAGAGGAAGAGAGAGAGAGAGAGAGAGAGCGAGGGCCCTAGAGGGAGGGAAGGAGGCTACGCGGCGACCACGCCCGACCAGAACCTAGCCTCCGCCCTGTCCAGAGCGAGGGAGGGGGAAGGGGGAGGGAGTAAGAGGGAGCAGGAGGGCGGAGGGAGGGAGGGAGGGAGGGAGGGAGGGAGGGAGGGA